GCTACCGGTGGAACAATAAGGTTTCATCTTTCCTTCATTTTCTTTCAAAATACAGCAGTATTTATCTCCTTTCTGCTCCTGAGGATGTACAGGGAATAGACAAAATACTTTTGGTTCTCCTGAAGACAAGTGCTACATAAACCTTGGCTTCATGACTCAAAACCTGGCTTGCACAGGTCAAAAGCATCTCAATGAGCCAAAGTAACAAAATAACAAATGGTATCACTGAATTTACAAAGCACTTCTGAATTTACACTTTAATGTCAAGAACCAGTGGCAGGGCCAGGCTACTATCATCCCAGGATATTACAGGTTAAGTGCACTTGCAAGGTTAATTTACCAAGTATAGACTCCGAAAATCCCAAAGTCTACTTACTACAACCCTTTATCCCTCGGTCACAGAAGAATTTGCATTTGTGAGAAACCATATGAAACAAGACCTTTCCCTATCTACAAATCATTCTAAAATAATAACTATAAGCTAACAATTTTTATATACCAAAGTTGAGGTAAGTATACTTACCATATCATGGCACCACCTTATTCAATGATACATTTGAGAATCAAGAGCTAGTACTCAGTAATAGAAACAACAAATCAATTCAAAATTGGGCAAGGGCCTCAAACAATTATGTCTCCTGAGAAAATATACAAATGATGATTAAGTACACGAAAATATGCTCACACCACCAAATAACAAAGAAATACAAACCAAAACCACAATGACATACCACCTCACATCCATTAAGATGGCTATTATTTAAAAGGATAGGGCAGGTAAGTGTAGGCGATGATGCAGAAAAAAATGGAATCCTCGTGAATCACTTGTGGAACCGTAAGTGCAAAACGGTACAGCTATTGTAGAACACAACCTGATGGTTCCCTCAAATATAAGAACTATGTGCGGCCAGGCATGTTGGCACACACCTATAATCGCAACACTTACAAGGCCGAGGCAGGAGGATTACAGCAAGTTCAAGACCAACCAGGGCGACATAATGACTCCCCCTGTCTCAAAAAAAATAAGAACTATATTATCCAGCAATTCCACTTGTAGGTATACACCCAAAAGAACCAAAAGGACTCATTGTACAAAATGTTCATAGTAGCAATATTCACAACAGCAAAAATGTATAAATGATATAAATGCCCATCAACTGGATAAACAATAATAAAATAATCACCTTTCAAAAGGAAGAAAATTCTGACACATGCTACAAGACAGATGAACCCTGAAAACGTTATGCTAACGGAAATAAGCCAAGTAAAAAAAGATTGTATGATTCCACCTATTGAAGTACCTAAAATAGGCAAGCTTCTAGAGACAGAAAGCAAAACAAAGTTACCAAGGTCTGCAGGAGAAAGGGGAAGAAGTTATTACTTAACAGATATAAAGTCTATGTTTAGAATGATGAAGAAGTTCTGGAAATAGTGGTGATAGTTGAACGCTGTGAATATACTCAATGCCACTGAACTGTACATTTACAAATGGTAAATTTAATTTTTACTTTGGTCTAACTTTGGTATATCTTTACATATATTTTCACCACAAAAAGATAAAACTCAGGCACAGCACCTGCCTGGCAAGTGTGATGTCCTGAATTCAATTTCCAGTAAAAAAAAAAAAAGATTATATCTGTTTTCATGAGAAGCCACTTTGAAGATATCAATATGTAATACAACCACCATTGTTAATTCCCTACCACTTTGTTTGTAACTCTGTATTGTCTGTATTGTGCTTGTGATATGTTGTAAAATGTTGTATGTCTGTTAATGTTTCCCTCCTTTTATCTTTAAAATTAAAAAAAATTTAAAAAATTAAAAAAAAGATAAAACACAGGGGCTAAATCTATAGTATCAACAATTACTTGAAGATATAAGCACTTATAACTATTAAAACATTCCCTAATAAATTCGGTGAGCCATCCATCAAGATGCCAGCTTCCAAATACTTTTCACGGTGTAGTAGTATCGGAAACTAATGCAAGAGACCTACTTTTCCAACTAAATGAGGGAAATATTAATTATGATCTTGTTTCCACCAGAAACTGTGAGTTTGGTATCTGAGATCAGTAAACACAATGGAGGGAGGAGAGGATGATAAAACCTAACTCCTTTAAGTTAGAAATGAAGAAGATGAAGCCTAGTGTTACTTTTTCAGGACCACACAACCAGTTCATGATAAAGTAATGACTAGAACAACTCAGGCTGTTTCTGTTCTCCTAGACAGTGTTCTTCGAACACTTAGTTCTACTTGAACAAATCACTTACTCTCATTCTTCAGACAGACAGCATTCATTTTAAAATTCAAATCTCTTGAAAATTACACTGCAAAGATCACTCAACAACTCTTGAATCTGAGTTAATTCCCATACTCCCAGTCACTAAAGAATGAAGTTGGCACAATATGCTACGGGGGTTAATTCAGAAGAACAAAGCCAACTGAGTTCAAATCCTTAAAAAATGGGAAATCTATATGACTTAACAGCTTCTCTTTCCTAACAGGCAAAAAGGACAAAAGACTGTTCACACCTAACTGCATGACTACAAAAGCACAATTACTCACACTCTCCACGTCCAAAACAAAATGCACTTGCACAGCGTAAGCCTCCCACTAAACTAGAAGTCTTCAGTGAAGGAGAGGATGCTCAAGACCCTAAGTTGACGCAGGCAGGCAGATTTCTCTTGGTAGAAAGACTCATCTTACATGGAAAGGTATTTGTTAGCACTCTGTAGCAAGAACAGTTTCTGGAGTACTTAAAGGAAATACCAACTACAGTGATGAATAAGGCCAGAAACAAAAATGTGCAACTGAGACGCTACCACAAACTCTTACAGGGAAATAAATGTTCATCGTGCTTCAACCACCAAATAAGGGAAGCTACAGAATTCAGTTGCCCACATCATCCCGCTGACACTTCAGTTCCATCCCTTTGCTCTTCTCAGACCGAGTGTCTCAATGCAGTCCTACACTTGAACTTCTCTCCCCTTCTGCTCCATCCCCACTTGATCTTCCTCCCCCAATGTCTTGACCTTCAAAATGTGGTCAAAAGTACACATCCTTCCAAACAAAGTCAACAAATAAATAATTTTACTATGTTCTATTATGTTAAATGCTGTAAGATACGAAAGACATTAGTGACCGGTCCTTGTTATCAAGAGCCTTACAACCCAGTGGAAAACAAAAGAGGTTTACATGTATACAATGCAGAGTACAGCAGGCACAGAAGAAATTACAATACAGTTTAGATGAGCCTGATTCTAATCAGACCTAAGTTCCAATCTAAGTCTGACTTTTAAGACTTTACATCTCTACACTCCAGTTTCCTTATTTCTATCATGTGGAAAACAGTATCCTGTTGTGTGGGTATGGGGTAAAATGAGGTAATGAGTGTATTTGTCAGCCCAAGGTCTAACACAAAATAAGCACTCATTACCAATGTCAGTGTTGATTAGTACAACAGAAAACATGAAAACTGCCACAATACAATAAAGGACCACAGCTTGGAGGCCAGAACAGATCCTCTAGCTGAAGTGATTAGAGACCGTTTAAAGGAAACAGCAGACTCTCAGCTGCATCTTAAAGAAAAAAGACCCTGTGAAAAGTGAACAAAGTGACATTAGTGGTAACCTGGGTTTTAAACTAGTTTGCTCTGTGCATGGGGAGTCATTTAAAGTTTAAAGGCTCTAGTTTTTCATTTAGAAGTTAAAAGCCTCAATTAAAGGAGATACAATATTCTGGAACGTCTTAAAATTGTGAAAAACAGCTGTACAGAAGGCAGAAAACAATCATGTGGAATGCGCACAGGATCCGATAGGGCTGGAGGAGAGGACATGAACTGTTACTTTTTACTTCCCCCATAGATGCAAGGGAGCTACAAGAGGTCATAGAGTAAAGGAGTAGCGTAATTAAACAAGAACCAGCACTTTAAAAAGCAGAAGGACACGATAATAGCATGTGGGTAAAATGAACTAGAAAATGGAGACGAACGGGATGAAAACCAAGAGACTGAAAGGATGGGACTCAGTCATGCTGAGTATGGGATGGGAAACGGCAGCTAGAGTGAAATTTACAAATACTCACTTGCCCCAAGTCTTTAACCAAAAGCAGAGCTTAGAGAACTGTCTTGCCAGCCATGGTGGCCCTTGCCTTTAATACCAGCTCCTGAGAAGCTGAGGCAGGAGAATAACCATGCATTCCAGGCCACCCAGGCCTACACACCGTTGAATTCAAGGACAGCCTGGAATACATAACACGGCTGACTCAAAAACACCCAAAAGAATAAAGAACGGAGAGGGGAGAGGGGAGAGGGGAGAGGGGAGGGGGAGAAAAGAAAAGAGGAAAGGAGAGGACAAGACAGGACAGGACAGGACAAAGAAAAGTCATCTAAAGTCTCTTAGATTTCAGTCCTTCATAAAATAAAATCTGTATCGCTACCAAATCTGTAATTCTATCATTCTGACACAACTGACTTTGACTGGAGTCAGGCTTTCCTTTTTGTTTTTGTAAATAAGAGCCAAATGATTTCAATGTACTGTCTAAGAAAACTGAACATTTACAGGTTAACAGGACATCTGAGCAGACCGGAAGCAATGAGATGGGATTCTAGGACACCACATTTTTCTACAAGCTAAAGGAAGCCACCCTTTCCATGGAGAGCACAGGAAAGCACTGGGGAGAGAGAAAAGTAGATGCCCTCAGATGATCATCACCACTTCTCCACCCAAGCATCTGTCTCAAGTCAACTCATTGTTATTATCACTTTAGAAGTTTCTGTACAATAAAAACATCAAAATCAGATAATACAGTCACTTATTCCAAAGCCAGCAAAAATTTTCAAGTCTAAATTTCATTGCAACTCCCATTTCATTTACTTGTTTTTGTTCATTTCTCCAATACCTACAGAATCAGTGCAAACACATTAGTAAAAGAGGATTTCTGCCCTTTAAAAAGTTACATATACGTAGTTGGAAAAAATGACAGGATTTTAAGAGCCAACCTGGTAAGTGCCATTAAACTTCCTAGGAGACACAGAAGACAGAGGTCTCATGAGAATCAGAAAAGACTCCACAGAAAAGCTGACATCTGAACTGTGCCTTGAATGATGAGTCACAGTCACAGGAATCGAGGCTTGACAGAACTGGCTCTAAGGAAGCACATAAATATTCATCACTTAAGGGGGAAAAGATTTTAAAAATCACTCTCAACTATCATTTTTTATAATTTCCTTTTCTCAAAAAAAGGTTATTAATCATTACACTTTAAAAAGCCAAAATATTTCAGGATCATACTCATGGAGAAAAATCTTCAACAATTTCCAGTAATAGTTCAGGGAAGAATAAGGGTTTTATCAAGTGTTAATGTCCTTTAAAAGTACACCTTATGTCAAAACAAATCAAATATATGTGCAAAAAGATAATAAAAACTGCTACCACTGTGTGTATGTAAAGGAAAGATCTTCATTAGGATATTTTTTTGTTTTAACTGAGCTGACTCTAAATCATTCCTAAATAAGCAAATTTATCTTATATATTCCTTGTCAGATGCCTCACATCCTTTTCATAGGTAATATAGAAAATAACTTCTCTACATACACTCACTTATATTTTTCATGTAAGAAACAGTGGTGACTAGACTCATACGAAGAACAATTCAGAACAAATTTCAACTGCACTAATTCACAATTCATTAATGGGAAAGAAGTAATGAATCAAATTATTCTACTGCTGTGACCATCTGGAAAATTACAGAATAAGTTGATTTACTACAAATAACAGTACTCAGTTTCTGTAGTTTAAAGCAATTTCTCGTGTCTTTTAAGCACCAGTTCTTTAAAAATAATTAACAGGTTTCTTATAGTTAAAAAAAAATCTTATACTTATTTGCCAACCATACCTAAAAGACCTGAAAAGAAATTACTTCTACCTAAAATACAGTAAAATCTTTTTCTTATGCCCAAACCTAATTCATTGGAAAAGAAATACAGAATGCCATTATACTATTTTCTATTCTTTGAGAGGATATCGCTTTTAAAACACAGATTTCATGTTTATTAGGATGCTATGTGGCTGTACTACTTGTACTGCTGCCCAACATTCAATAAGTGTACGAAGTATTTTAAATTGGCAGTTAATATTTAACACTTAACAAAAGAATCATGATAGTGACAACTGTGGGCACAAGAATAAAACTAAGTCACATTTATTCTGGAAAACAAAACCTACAGAACTAAAAAGAACTGTTGCTTATAGTATGAACATTATCCAGATTCAACTCTATATGGCAAAAAGAAAGCCAATTTACAAAATCCACATGTGTCTTAAAACATGCCAAAGGTTTGGAAACATGATATAAGTATTATGTTATTCCTTTACAAAACAATTCTTCCTAAATTCAGTTTTTACTTCAACTCTTGATGAAACCCCATCTGTTTACTCAAATCAGAGGAAATAAAGCTGTCCACAGGAAATCAGGCAGCAGCTCACTGATCCAGTATTACAAGGCTGACCTCCACAGAGAATGTTTAGCTACATTTTAGGTTGGAATAAAAGATAAAGGATAGGATGCAAACCCCTCCCTATTTCCACTGAGGACAGATTTTTCAACTATGGAATCCGTAGGAACTCTCACATTTCCAAATTTCCAGTCCCCTAATATATGCTCCAGGACACTATCAGAAGAGGAAAAAAAAAAAAATTATGCGTCAACATGCAAACTCCTGAAATTTTTTGTTCCAATAACTGAATAGTAAAATAACATTATGAGAGCTAAAAGATCACAAGCTTAGCATCTAACTTCACCCTGTTTTTCTGTATGTTGATGAATTAGCACGTATTAAGCCTTTACTCTGCTCTATGGCATTCTTCTATAGGGTAAATACTGTTTGTGCTATGGCTAAAGGAGATTTGATGCTATTTTTTTTCCAGTAGAAGCCTATTTGGCTTTAAATAAACATTCCTTGCTTCCAAAAGCCTAACAGAGTCCTGTCAAAAGGACATAAAAGCCAGTCAAAGTGATAGCTAACGTTTGGGAAAAGAATGACTGTAATTTTCTTGGGGGGATGGTTTTGAGACAGGGTCTTGCTATGTAGTACAGGCTGGCCTTCCTTATATAGCATAGCCCAGGCTGACCTTGAACTCACAGCAATCCTCCTGCCTCAGGCCCCCAAATGCTGGCATTACAGGCATGCACCACCACACCAGCATAAATGACTGCAATTGATTGAAATTTACTTAATATATAAAAATCCTTAAGTTAATAGAAATATTAGAAGACAGAAACAGACTGCGTTCGCTTTCTGCTGCTGTGACAGGAACTGAGACAAACTTGTAAGGAGAAAAGGCTTATTTTGGCTCTTTTCAGAGGTTTTACATCCATGGTTAGTTGACTATGGTTTTTTTTTTTTAATTTATTTAAAAAATTAAAAGAAGGAAAATATTAAACAAACAGACATCCATTTAAAAAATAGCATAAGAACAAAACAGACAATACAGAGTTACAATGTGGTAGGAAATTAACAATGGTTGTATTGTGTATTGATTATCTTCAGAGTGGTTTCTCAGGAAAGCAAAGAGACGTAGAGACGTGCAGGATTGATTTCTGAGCCAGTAGCTAGATCGCACATCCTGGCAGGGAGCACATGGGGGAGCAAAGCCACAGACCACAGAGAGAGAAAAGAGGGACTGAGGCTTGGAAGGCTGAGACAGGAAGATCACCGTAAGTTCCTGCCCAGCCTAGGCTACATAAGAGAGTTCAACGGCAGCCTGCACTACACAGAGAAACCTTGTCTCAACAAAAACCAAAAAAATAAAACAAAAAAATTCATCATGGAATATATCTGGAGAGATTTTAATATACCGCAGATATTACCTAACATTAGAAAATCACTGCCAGTTGCTGTACATCAAAAGTGTTCTCATTAAATGATAAAATGCCCCTGCTTTTAACAAATATATAACCAAAAAAAAGCCAGAGAGAAATATCATGAGTTCCATAACTGAAATTACTTTAGAAAAAAATATACATGGGAAAATGTTAACATAAGAAATAATGTATCTAGGCACAATGATCATCAATAGTTGCTAACACTGTCAGGTGAAAGTCTGAGGGGAAATTTTATAACAGAGGGATCAATCTAACTGAAAATACCCGAGCCCACTAATCTGCATCCCAAAAAGAGAGCCAACCATACACTATCTCTTGAGATGTAACAAGAAATAAACACTAACTATGAAAGATTCTAATTCTCCCACCCCACTGCACAAGTCAGCCTTGAATGTGCCTACCCACTAACAGGAAATTCAAAAGACTCCAACAATGAACATCACCACAGCCTGGGATGCATCAAGAAGATCCAGAATGAGGGAAATTCTATAGGAAAGAACAAATTTCTTCAACAAGTAAACTAAAAGAAAAAGAAGTGAAGCTATATATTAAAATACTCAATATACAGCAACCAAATTTAATGTAATGTAGATATTATTTGAATGTTAATTTGAAAAAATCAACTATAAAAACATTTATGAAACAACTGGAAAAATATCACTCACTGAATATTTGATATTAGGGAAATACTCAGAGTTTAATTGTGACAATGGTATTGTGGTTTTTCTTTTTTTAAGTGTTTACCCATTGCAGACAATAAAAAATGCATGAAGTGATATACCGTGTAGAATTTACTTTTTTAAGAAGTCCAATATGAAATGGGGGAGGTTATGGCAAATATAGATTTGGGGATACACAGATGAAACAAAATTGGCCATATGTTGCTAATTAGCTGGAAGATGGATATATTTTTACTCTGTATATTGCTAAATTATTTTTTTAAAGTATTTCTGCTTTTAAAAAAAGTATAACAAGAAAGGAGGGAATGAACCCTAATCACAGCACCTTCAACTAATCAAAACCTTTACTACATTAAAAAAAAAATGGGCACCAAACAAAATAGAGTAAAACAAGAATAAGCAAATGTACTATTAACAAAAGAAAAAAGATGTTAAGTCCATGCCACAAGCCTGATAACAAATGAAAAGACAGAAGAAGGGGCTGGGGATTTAGCTCAGCGGCAAAAGCGCCTGCCTGGCAAGCGCAAGGTCGTGAGTTCGGTTCCCGGTACCGGAGAAAAACCAAAAAAAAAAAAAAGAAAATGTCACTTTAAAATAAAGATAATTACAACCACCCTTAAATGGATCCCTGCAGAACTCATGTACTTATTTCCCAGGTACCTTGGTCACTTTCTGATTTATCATCTTCCCACTTTAATCCTTCTACTTACAACTGGCAAGGAAGAGGGGAAAAAGTCACTAAGGATAGTCGCTTACTGGGTGGGAAATTTAAGTAGCAAAACTGAAATGCTTCCACCACTATTCTAGAAAAATCAAGACTGGTTTAACTGTAAAATGTCTCACTTAACTGAAAACCCAGTTTGTGGTCCATACAAATTACTATGACAGCTGCTTTCTCCTTTTCTTTTTTGGAAACGAAGCTGGACTAGAAACTCTTGTGCAATTTGTATTTGGATGTGGTGTTTGCAGAGGATTATTATCTTCCCAAATTCTAAGTGCTTCCATCTGTTTTTATGAGGAATTTGGCTTACACTGATTTCAGAAAATGAAGAACTAAGAAAGAAATACTCAAACATCCTTACAATCAGGGCTATGAATCAAAGGCTGAGGGCAGAAACCCTCGGAAAAAAGAAAAACTGAAGGGATAATCAAAGGAAAGATGTCTGCAAATAACAGAAGGAAAAATAGAACAAGCTGAAACATGTTAGGAGAGAAAGCCAAAGACAGTGTGGTTCATTCACAATGTCAAAAGTAACAGAGGGAAAGATGTGTTCAATAATTTGAAAATTGCACCACCCATCTCCTAGTAAAGATCAATTCCAGTTGAGTGGTAAGACTGGAAGAACACGCCTTCCACTGAAAAATAAAGGATCCGCTACTTCCTAATGAATTTCCACACTGACAAGAAGGTAAGAAACTACAGATTGCACAGACCTTTTTAGAGCCCTTGTCATGCTACAGTAATCTCAATCTATGCTCAAGTCTTTTCAGGTAGACTTAGGTTTTACTTCTC